ACAACTCAAAGACTCACTAAAGAGATTCTAACGTTAGCATCCAATCTGGAACCACTGATTTTATTTTTGTGGATTAGTTTGTTGCTTAAAAAATACCACAAATGACAGTTTTGTGTGTCATTTCTTTGACTTTATTGCTTTCATCTGTGTTTTAAAGAGCATTTGCTTGTTCAAATATGTCCAAAAAATAAATAATTAGCATGAAACTTCGTTATTTTCTATATTTGTATGTCAGCTGACTTTCGTTACTGAAAACGATGAACACAATCTCAGCTGAAACACGAATAAAGATGATTTCCCTGCCAGATACGAATGTTTTACATCAATTTAGATGTCAACTCAGTGTGATGAGGATTGTCAAGATGTTTAAAACCTATTTCTAATCTATACAAACAGGACTTATTTGACTCTGGCTGGGACTTTCTGCAGTTAAACGTCTTTCTAACGGTCGACGCTGTGTTTAAGTTACGACTTCTGAGCACAAATCAGCTCCAGGTGAGTTTTAAACGACTTTATCTGCAGGTAATCGAAGATCTGGGCCCCTCTAATGGCCACGAGCTTCATTTTGAGAAGAGAGACGAATAAACCGAGAACATTTTGTGCTTTTTTTGGTGAATTATTGGTTCATTTAATCTGTTTGGGCCTTGAACAGTTACTACGAACAACATTAGCCTCTCGTCTGGAACACCTGATTCTGATATTGAGGCTTTTTCATCAGACCTGTTTGACTTTTCTGTGTTTTTAAACAGCTTTCGCTTGTTTAAATGTGTTGAAAAAGTTACTCATTTACTTATTTTTCCACGCGACTGCACGACGACCGACATGCAAAGCTGTTTTTTGAGCCTAATTTCATCTCAAAAACGGACTTTAGATGATGGAAGGATGAAGAAGAGATCAGCTGAAGGAGGTGAACACACACACGGTTATTGTTTCCCTGTCAGGTGTTGGTATCTTAAAATCGATTTATACATAAAGCTGGTGTGAGAAGCAAAGAAAATCCAGGATTTATTCGCCTCTGGTGGGGACATTTCTAGAGTTTACGGCCAACATTGTGTTTAAATGATAACCGCTGAGTACAAATAAGCTCCAGGTGAGTTTATGGGTGTATTTTAAATGAATTTTTCTAAAGTTAGTCCAGTAGCTCCTGGCCTGTAAGTCACTAATTTAACCTGAGGGATTGTGGGACGATTAACATTATTATCTGGGTTTATCTTTAGTCTTTGCTCTTTTTTTAGTGGAGTTTTTTTCAGTTATTGTGTGGAAAATGTTGTCTTTTTTGGATTTAAATGTAATAAATGTTTGGCTGTACTTCATCTTTCGAGGGAACTGATCTTTTTTTTAAAATTTAAAACAAAGAAAATGTTAGTTTCAGGTGTTGCTTGTGTGTGTTTTTGGGTTTCAAACGGCATTTGTCGGTCTAAAAATGTTGAAAAAGTCAATAATTAACATGGAAAGTGCTTATTTTTCATATATTTGTATGTCAGATAACATGTTTGACAGTTTTTCATCATCGGTATCCATTCATTTCAACCTCAGGACACTTATTTCAAACTGCAGAATGCAAATGAGCTCCAGGTGAGTTTTAAACTCGTGTTTCCTGACCTGTGAGGTTTGCTTCAAGTTTCATGTGGCTTTAGGAGGAACAGGAACTGAATTTAAGCTGCAGAACTTTAAACCAGCTTTGCTTTGTTGTGAATTATTGACTTTTTTTTAACCCGTTTGAGTCTTAAATAGTTAATAAATGACACCAGAAATGTGCCCATGAGAGCAACTCGAGGACGAGAAATAACTTGTGCAGGAGGTAAACACAGATAAATGTGATTTTCCTGCCACATTTGAATATTTTAAATTGATAAATTGTGCTTCTAATTGTTGCTTTATTGTGAATTATTGGGCGATTTTAGCTGTTTGGGCCTGAAACAGGACAAGAAGTCACTTTTGTTACCTAAAAGAGGAACAAGAAGGAAAACGAAAAAAAACGAATGAATATTATTGTATTTTCTAGATTTGTGTATTTTAAAGTCATGAAAGGATTGTCAAGCTGTTTACAATCCAGTTTTATATGAAAATCAAAGGTTAAAGGGCTGTAAATAAAATCCGAGGACTCAATGTGAGATATTTGATCTTTGCTTTTTGTGAATTTAGGGGGTAATTTGATCTGTTTGGACTTTAATGAAGCCACGTAAAGCTTGTAAAAGGTTAAAGATACCAAAGAAACCTATGTTGTCTCTTTTTATAGCTTTTTTATGGACACCTTTAAGTAAAATCTAACAATGGAAAGCAAATGTAGTTGGTTAAAAGAGCACATTGTCTCCCAGCAATGCAACATTAACCTCACAGTCAAGTCAAACCCACCAGCAGCGGAACTAAAGTCCATTTCAGGTGCGTATTTATCTAAAAGCAGCATTTTGCGCGTTGATATTTCACCGCAAACGCATTATAGGAAATATTAGAGACACTCGGGGACGTTGAGAAGGCAGAAAGTTGCACTAAACACACATTAAACTTAATTAAAAGTCATAAATGCTGCTGTGATGGACTCCTCTGACCTGGAGGAGCTGCAGCAGAGACTCGCTCAGAGAAATAAAACATCATTTCTGCTGCTCACAAATCACATTCAGACCATGTCCCGGCCTCTCTCATGAAGCCTCTTTTATTATTGTGATTATTAATAAATCAGGCGGCCCGGACAGATGAACCGGAGCAGGGGGGCGGCCTCGGCCCGGTAATTGCCGGTGTAACAGTGTGTGCAGCCCCGCGGTGGCCTCGTAAGCGACCCGCTTTATTAGATCGGCCGGTATCGATCCGCGCCGCGCCGCGTTCACTAATCTGCAGGCGGCGGCGGCGGAGGGGGGGGGGGAGGGGGGGGAGGGAGCACGGATCGATGGGCCTGGATCCAATCACGTCTGGAAACAGAGAAGGTAATTTATTGTAATCACGGCGCAGGAGATGGAAAACGTGAGAACAACGCGCCCGTGAGGCTCCGGAGCAGAACTACAGCAGCTCAGACCTGAAGCCTCACCTGGACACCTGATCTAAGCACAGAGTCTGATGGAGAGCTGGCAGGATGGTTGGTACAAGAAACAAGAGGAATAGATCCATCAGGTACAGAAAGCCCGAGATGGAGCAAAGAGAGGAAACCTGAGAATAAAGCAACATGTGGAATAAAAGACCTGCAGTCACCTCCTCAGGCTTTATTTAACTCTGATACAAAGTGCTTTGTTAAAACGTGTGCTTGTTTTTTTTAAAAATTTTTTATGTATACTTGTATTTTTTTTATTTTTAATTTATTGCTGCTGCTCATACCATTATCTTTATTTAATTTATTTTTTATCATTTTTTCCTACATACAGTTGAAACCAGACGTTTACATCCCCTGTATATAAAGACATAAAACCTTTTGTTTCTCTCGCTGTCTGACATTAAATCAGAATAAACTTTTCCGTTAGGACTACCAACATTATTTCTATTTGCTAAATGCCAGAATATATATGCACAAATATATGTGAAAAATAATCAATTAAAAAACAAACAAAACAAAACAAAAAAACAACTGTGAAATTCTGGCAGCAGGATGATGGAAAATACATACTGTAATGTTGGAAAACTGTAAAAACTGTCAAAATAAGGGTGAATATCTGTAGAATAATGATGTTTCTAGCTGATATAAATACAGTTAAACTGTGTGATTTTACACTCACATGTTGTAAAAGCAGAAATATTCATAACAATACAGATTTTTGATGTGGACTTTATGCACAGTTGTTTTTTTTTTCATCAATATGCAAAATAATTATTTTTCTGTATGAAATTAACAGATTATCTGTGATTTAACAGACGCCGGTTTTGATTGACATTCCAATCCTTAATTTACATAATTTTCTTTTAAATATATGCAAAATATTGGTTTTTATAGCTGATTTTAATACAGCAAAACTGTGACGTTATAGTCAAAAGTTTGAAAAAAATAATAAAAATACATATTTTTGATGAGGACAATATGTAGTTGTTTTTATTTATATACACTCGTTTCTGTGATTTTTTACTAAATATTATTTTATCTCTAATTTAACAAAACAATCAACTGTCAAGTACCAGCAAATATTTGTAAGACAAGATGTTTAGTTGATTTGAATAAAGCAAAAATATTTACAGTAAAACATTAGCCTGTTTTGTTGTTGTTTTTACAGTTAACATGTAATTCAATACTTTTTTGCTGATTTTATGAGACATTATCTGTAATTTAACAAAACATCTGCACATTTTACATCCATCTGTATAATTGTTTTTAAAAACTGCAGTTAAAATCTGTTTTAATTTTTACAGTGCAGCACAAACAGGGACCAGAAGCCCTAAAAACAACGTCTGCTTTCTTTAAAATGTACGTTTAACATTGAAATAGTATGTCCCACTCAGGTGAACAGATTTAGAAGACATTAAATCACAACAGGCTACGACTTTTTGATTTTTGAACTTCACTATTAATTTATCATCACTGATAAATTCCTGACAGACAAACTGATCCACACGTCTCGCCAGATTCTTACATTTTACAGACCCAACTAGAAATAATCGCTACCAGCAGCCCTGGTGTGATTCAGGCTCAGCTGTGGATTCGGCTGAAGCTCTCGTACAGACTTCTAAAGACTGCAGGGATGAAACCTACTTTAAAACAAACTGCTGAACAATGGAAGTCTGACCCAGAAGCTGCAGTCGACAGACAGAAACTAAAAAGTCTGGATGGACACGGTGTCAGAGAGGTGGGAGTCCTGAGAGGAACAAGGACTCTCATGTCATTTAAATCACAACTTTAGCAACCCTTTCTGGTTTTTAGTCAGTTGAAAGTTACATTAAAAAAAGCTTATTATACTATATTTGTGCTGTAATTTACTTAAAGAGGTTAATGAGACTGTGCAGCGCCAACGTGAGTGACGCTCTCAGCCAGGACGATAAATAAAAAAATGTCTTCGCCCTCTTGAAGTAACGCGACAAGAGAAAAAGACGACAGAGAGACGTTTTATTAAACAGCACGCAGAGAGCAGGACCTCAGACTCACAGTAACAAACCTTCTTTGCAGAGTCATTCTGAGTTTTCACAGGAAAAATAAAACAAACAAACGTCCTTGTCACGAGTTAACGGATGAAGCGCCTCGGTGAGCGACCGGTGAAGGGAGTCAGGCCCGCGAGTTCCGCTCCTCGTCCTCGTTCTCCAGCAGGTAGGCCGGTCTGTAGCGCGTCACCCCTCTGGGATCCACCATCTGGAGGGCGGCGTTCCGACAGGTGTTGTCCATGCTGCCCAGCGACGTGTAGCTGCAAAACGGCAGAGATCATTTAAGACCAAAACGTGCTGCTGCTGCTGTGTTGGTGTTGTTCAGACGGAAACGGTGACGGGATCATTCTCACCCTTTATCGTAGAGGATGCAGTAGGGCACGTAGAGCGTCCTCAGGAAGGACCAGATGTCGTGATACGTCCAGTCCTGCACAGGCAGGAAACAGGGAATTTAAATGGCTTGCAACTTAATTAAGCCCTTTAGAGATGGGATATGTTAGATTTCTGCCTCACTAGTCTGTTAAAATCACAGTATTTTCTCATTAAATGTGACTTTAATGTTCCAGCTATCGACAAAACAAAACCCTCTGCAGCTGATAAACTGTGACTCTGAGGTGAAGAAAAGTCCACAGTGTGACCTGCTGTTAGATCCTCATCCATCCTGCCTCCATGTCAGGGATCATTTATAAGTAATCAATCAAGTTAACTCTCTTTGTGATGCTGCAGGTATTTAATAAACTTGAGGAAACACTTCCAAACAGCTGGAAGCAACAAACTAAACTTCAGCTCCTGTTTGTCCAAACCTGGATTACATTCGTTATAAGTGAGTTTTTTTATTCGACCCTTTCATGTCTGTCCTGATGGCAGTAAAGTTATACTTTTATGGACATTTTAGTTGGTTAGCACTGTTGCCTCGCAGCTAGAAGGTCGGCGGTTCGCGTCCCGGTGAGGACATCCAGGATCTTTCTGAGTGGAGTCTCCATGTTCTCTCCGGGTTCTCCGGCTTCCTCCCAAAAGTCCAAAAACATGTTGAGGTTAATTGGTGATTCTAAATTGTGTGAGTGTGCTTGGTTGTCTGTCTCTAAGTGTAGCCCTGTGATAGACTGGTGACCTGTCCAGGTGAACCTGCCTTCACCCTGGTCTCCCTAGTAGACCCTAGTGAGGATTAAGGTGTGTATAGATAATGGATGGATGGAGAACTAAAATTGTAGAGCAACATGCATGAGAAAGGTGTGTGTGTGTTGTTCTGGACCAATTTTGCTGCTGTAACAAGGAAAAAGTCTCAGATTTGTGCCAAGATTACGACTTTTATGAAAAACTAAGAAGTCAACACGTTCAGAAAACAGTGGTTTTAGTTCAATCTGGGATAAATCCTCCTCTGTGGAGTCCTCCTACGTGTCTACGGGCTGCACATGTTAAACCCTGAACGAGATCAACTACCTGTTCCTCGGCTGTATGTGCTGCTACCACTGACATTTCCAAATACGTTAATAAAACAAAGCAGCACTTCTGCTCCTCAGATGAAAGAGCAACAACACGTGAGATTTCTGCCTCCAAAAGCTGCACGGCGTAATGCAACTCAGCACAAACGACGGCTTCTCCTCTCTCTCTATGCTAAGTATTAGCTGTGAGATGTCGAGGCGCGTTACAATTATGTTGCACACGCAGCAATATATGTTGTTTTTTTTTTTTTTGCACAAAGTAGTACACAAAATATTGTCATTTAAAGCTTTACAAATGAGGCGGCGCTGCGGGGCTGCATTTAACCGTGCAGGTGTTTTTAGAATTACAGCCTACACATCTGAATTCGGAAACTTTAGTCAACATGACAAATAACATTAAGCGTAACAAGGGGAGCTCGGCCGGCTGGAGCAGCGCAAACGGATTTCTATTACCAGTGAAAAAGCAGTTTCTCCTGCAGCAATATGTACACGGGAATAAGGAAGGACTGCTTGTTTTGTTTATAATGAATGTCTGCAGGTGCTCTAAAGGTAAAAACAAGAATCAGAGCGCGACCGGGTTGTTGGGGTGTGGACGGTTTGATTGTCAGCTGGGGACCATTTGCTGCTTTATTTCCTGTTTCCCTTCACTGTCTCTGTGAAATAAAGGCACAGAGCAGCCTGGGAACAAACAGAGGAGGTCAATGTGGAACTGGATTAATGTGCGTTTTCAAAGAATTCATGTTTCAAGATCGTTTTGCCTCTAATTAGACGCTGGATGGAGTCGGGACGTTCTAACGTAGTTCAGGATTCATCCAGAGAAGCCTGAACACAGAATAAATCCAGCGTACGAACCGTGTGCGGAACAGACGACCCTGACAGACGAGTTGAACGTCTGATCCTGTGTTAATTAAGTTACCGCTGCGTAAACATCGCTCGCAGTTTCAAGAATGGCTTATTGTTTCTGCTGCAGGTGTTTATTAAATTCAGAGGAGAGAATCTGACACGCAGCCAAACAGCATCGATGTTCCAACAAAATCTAAAATGACATCCAGTAAAATCCCCCGAAATGATGGATTTTTTCATTCTGTCGCTCCATAATTAACCCTCTGAACTCCAAATGCTTCCTGCAGGTTTGAGTGGCCTTTTCCTTCTTAAAACAATCTGGAAAAATTGTAATATTTATCAGAAAAAGAAAGTGTAAATACACCAAGAATGGTTGCATTTTTAACTCTAGAGTGGGCCTTTATCTGCTCCCTATGCTTTAAATCAGGGGTGTCGACATCCGGTCCTCGAGGGCCGCAATCCTGCATGTTTTAGATGTTTCCTTCTTCCAACACACCTGATTCAAATGATGAGGATCGTTATCAGACTTCTGCAGAGCTTGATGATGAGCTGATCATTTGAATCAGGTGTGTTGGAAGAGGGAAACATCTAAAACATGCAGGATTGCGGCCCTCGAGGACCGCAGTTCGACACCCCTGCTTTAAATCGTAAGGTTTTATCAAAACTCCTTTATTTTACATGCCTCATTTAAAAATTCGCCAAAAATCAACCATTTGCACAAAAAAGATTCTGTGAAAACAAAAAAATTCTGAGCTCTCTGGTGCAACTGAGAAGTCATGACTGACTCAGCTGCGACGAACAATCACTTCGCAAAAATGATTAGAATTATAGTCCGTGGTGCTGACACAGACCAGAGAAAAGATTATGGAAAAAATACAAACATAGGTGGCAAAATATCTAAAGTATGTAAGTCACCGTTTCCCCCAATATTGATCACATCAGTGGGCAAAAACGCTGGATATTTTGGAGCACAAATATTCACCTTTTTTTGTTTTTTATTTTAGGATTTTTGACAATATAACTGCGTATCGGAGTCCTCTCTCCTTCTAGTCGTGGTTGTTCTATTTCCACTGAGGTGCAGGACTTTATGTTGCACAGAAAAATGAGTGAATAAAAAATGTGACAGGAGCAAAAAAAAAAACGTCCAGAAACTGCTCGGAGCTCAGGGGGTTAATGGCTGCATGTTCTCACACCTGTCAGTACGGTGTGTGATAGACGGCGGTTTATGGTGGAGCTTTAGCTGCACGTTCTTCTTTTATATGCAAATCTGGTTCGGAATCAAAGACTCAATATATAATTAACAGATTCTTCTGTTCTCTTTTGTGTTTACTTGTATTTTTAGCTTATTATATGTTCAGATTGTACTTTTTTTTTTTTAGCTTGTTATGTGTTTAGCTTACATATTTATTAGTATGTATATTTTTTAACTGTGTGTTTTTTAAATGAGGGTTTGAGAGAAATGCAATTTCAGTTCTCTGTATGTGTACACGTGTACTGACAATAAAGTCACTTTGACTTGACCCGGACACAAGCCGAGGCTTCATCTACCAGGTGGGTCACCTAGGTGATGTCGTAAGACCCGAAACACCCGATGACTCTGAGATGCATCACCGAGGATGTGTTCGGGTGCATCAACACTTTAAACATGAAAATTGATTTGCGATGTGGCAGAGCTTCATGTGTGAATGAGTTTGGTTTTTTGAATGAGCCCTGCAGTGTTCATTCTGGAATCATCGCTGTGCACAAATGTGAAGAAAAGCCTGTAACACTGGAAAATATCTCCAACGGCTAAAACGCATCCACGAGCAGCGTGCAACTCCCAACGTCCCTCCAACAGTCGTGGTAGGTTTGTCTGGTTTTTAAGGCTCAGGAAGGCTTTAAATGTACGAGGAAAGGAATCAGGGGGTGTCACTCGCTTCCTTAACAAACAGAGACAAATTGGAAATTAACAGGATTTAAGAAAAGACAATTCCAGTGACAGGGTTCAGAAAAGAAGGACGCACTGTGTATGATGTATTTTCTACTGTGGGCCTCTACTGGGGAGGCTTGAATTGTATTTTCTCAGTATTGGAGGCGACTGTGTGGTTATGAATTAAGTAACAACAAGCAACGTTTACGTCCGACCAGACATGACGTGATTGATAACAAGCTGTTTTCTCTCCATCATGATATGACTTTGAGGTTTGTTCCAACAAAAACAAATCGTTTTATGTGACCTCTGCATCATAAAGCGACAGTGTGTGAGTGACAGCGTGTGTGAGTGACGGTGTGTGAGTGACAGTGTGTGCGTCGGCGGTCTCACTAGTAGCGGGTTGACTCTCATGTAGTCCGGCCAGCCTGGGTCGGTGGGACACATGGGGGTCAGGGTGTGGGAGTAGGGGTCGCTCCTCCTGGTGCCCATCAGGACGGCCCTCAGCTCCGGCCTCCTCTCCTGCACCTCGTTCAGCGCCTGCCGAATGCTGCCCTCCACAGAGAACAGCTCCAGGTCGTACCTGCGGGAGACACGTCGCCAAATAATGAGAAGTAAAGGCAGGGAATGAGGAACCCCTTCAACACTGAGTATGTTTGGCTTGAAATTCATGATCAGACATGGTTCTGATTAATCACTCATGAGTTCTTCAGTAGACTTCATATCATTACACATGTGGTATCAATCAAAAGCAGACAAGTTGACGGTTAAATATATCTGGAAGTTGACTCTGGTCATACAGGTGTGAAAAAGAAAAGGTAAACTTCATAATTACCAGGGATGTATGCAATTAATTGTCAGTTGAGACATCAGCCAGGGTCTTGCAATTAGTTAGTTTTGATTGCTTATAAACGTTTCAGAAACGAGGTGGAGAAAATCCTGTTTTCTGTTGATTTGTGGGGTCAAACGATGTCATTTTACTTCATTTGCACCATTTATTTAATGGTGGAATCGCTTGCTCACATACTGGGATTCCCACTGACAGCCAATCAAAATGAATGTAGCAGGAAGTCGCCATATACCGGAGCTGCTATACCGAGCTGCAGGGTTGAACTGGAGTCGTGATGACAGCCCGGTATAGAGGGCTATAGTGTTAAAAGGGTTACTGAGGAAAGCCCTCGGACTGGGAGCACCTAGTGGGTGAAAAGATGTTGAAATCTGCACTGACACCTAGTTCTTGACCCGCAGAACGTCAAAACCTGCTGCTGGTTTTTCAGAGACGTGTTATATTTTTAGAAAAATGCGAAAATCATTTATAAGAGCCAGAAACTCTAAAAACAAAAATAATCATTTGATTTTTTTAAACTTTTCATCGTAAAACGTAACCAAATATGAGCTTAAAATTGCAATCACTTTATTCTGTCTAAAAATTTTATTATCATTTAAAAATTTGGCAAAAATCAACAGTTTGCTCTTAAAAGACTCCAAAAAAGTTCTGTGCTCTTTGTTCCATGACCGACTCCGAGTTTTGGCTGAACTGCAGGCTGTGGTAGTATTGCATAGTGTTGGGAACACTTGGGTTGATTTCATTCTTTTTTAATTGTAAAATAAATAACTAATGAAATTCAACATTAATTTTGTGGGGGTTTTTTTTATTGATTTCCTGCTTTATAATTTTGCTACATGCCCGCTCTTTGTTTTGATTGCAAAGCCATGACTGAGTTTTCAGTTCTTAATGAAATTCAGCTTTTATTTTGTGTGTTTTTATGATTTATGGCATTACAATGTTGTTATACGTCCCCAAAAAGGACATTCCTGAGTTCTCTCTCCTTCTTCTTGGTTGTGACGTGTCCACAGAGGTGCAGGACTTTATATTATTTATATTACTTTATTATATTGCAGCAAAGAAAAGAAGAGTTCTGAGAGAGCCTGGGCTCCAGAGGGTTAAAAGATTCCCTAAACAAGCGTCTCACCTTTTTATCGTGTCCTGCAGGAATCTCTCCATTTCTGGGAACGGAGAGACGATACGAATATACAGAGCTTTCACCTTGTCTTTACCGTCTGGATAACGCCTGAGAGAGACGAGAAGAGGGACAAAAAGAGGAAATTAGAGAAGGATAAATAACCGAGGCGCAGACAAAGATTAGACAAATGTTCGGTCTCCTTTTCATCATCTCAACAATCTGTCCGGCGTAGGTCAGGAAAAGTCCAAAAAGTAAGTCAGCCTTGTCAGATTTGTCTCCGTGTGGCGGCTGCTCTCCAGCTCATCGCACCCCGCTGTGCTCTAATGGTGTCATTATTTATTTCATCTGAATCTCCTCCTTCCATGTCTCGCCTCTCAGGTCGTTTGTTTCGTCCCGATGAGGCGGCCCCTCGCCCTCCGCTGCCGTTTACCGTTTCAGCGCGGCGAAGTAGAGATGGAGCAGCGCCGTGCAGTCTTTGCCGCCGTTGAAGCCGACGCAGACCTGCTCCGTTGAATACTGATCCAGCGCAGCCTCTATTGTCTTCAGCGCAGACGTGACTTTCTCACCCAGCGCTGTGCCTGTTGGGAAGGAGATCCACATAAATGATCCCTCATTTCCACGTCTAATTCAGGGTAAAAATACTGAAGCTTCATTCTTCATTCTTCTCTCTGCTCCCTCTATCAACAGTTTTTTTTTTTTACAATCCAAAGTGGACTTTACAGCAATAATTGCTTTAATATTTTGGCTTCCTTTATCGGTCCCAATGACTGTGTTAAGTGCAAGAGTTCTCACTTTATATGAACACATTTTAACCCTCTGAACAAGTAGGTTCATGTTTTTCTCTCACTGTGGGCTCATTTTTCACAGCAATTTCAAGTCCTGCACCTCTGTGGAAGCAGAACAATCATAAGTAAAAGAGTAAAAGGCCATTTATAATGAAAAAAAAAGCAAAAATCAAAGTGCAATTTCTTTGTTTTACCAAACTTGAAATTTCAGTTTGCACAACCTGCACAAAGCGCATGTTTTACCTGCTGCTCTACACATGGAGGTGTTTCACTGTGTTGAATGCATCCTCCAACAACTTGCTGACAATTTTTTAACCATGCTTTCACGTTCATTTTATGGCTCAAATATGTTTTATTTTGCTCTCAATCTGTCTAATTTGTTCCCACACTTGTCTGCTCTGTGTAAACACATCCAGCTAAAAAGTCTCTTGACTTTTGTCACGTGAGTTTTGGTCGCAGTCGTGGCTTCAGAGGAGCACAACTTTTTTTGAATGAATGTATTTTTCACATTCATTTAATGAGGCAGCTGCGTAGGAGAGAGACGAGCACAAGCGAAAGTTTCCGACAGACTCCTGCACACCGTCTAACGGCGCCGATGAATGTATTTCTGCAAAGTTAGACTTTTTGTGGGAGTCTGCTGGAAAGTTTGGGGGAATTTTTGTAATGTGACATATGATAAATAAAAAGACTTCAGGCTTGGATTTTGCTAATTTTCTCAACAGAACCACACGTCACCCGACTGGATCAGAAGGCTGTCAGATGTTAAATGTGATCATTTTGTAATTTTTTTTCTTTTTTTTTTTACTAATAACGTGCATTTCGAGCCCAGGAGCATGTTTTAGGGTCCAGAGGATTAACCGTGTTTTACTGTCCACACTCTGCTGCCTCTCACCGCTGTTGGCCAGCGTGTAAACCTCCGCCGTGGCGATGGACACCGGGTCGGTCACTAATGGCACCATGCTTCCTTTGGGCAGCTCCTCCAGCAGCTGCGCTCGGGCTTTGTCCACCTCCTCCTGGCTGTCCGAGTCCAGGACCAGCCGGACTCTGTGGTAGTTGCTCAGCCAGTCAGGGTAGGAGCCCAACGCCACCTTCCGGCCCCAGTTGGCCTGCAGTTTGGTCAGCACTGGCGCGATGTCCGCTTCGTCTGCGTCCACAAACACCTGGTGAGAATGGACTCGAGTTAGCGCTCTTAAAACACTGTATGCAGGTAGATTTGCTGGTCGCGGCGTTACCTCGCGAGTGTGAAACGTGGTCCCTGAAGCGGCAAAGAGGTGCTCCAGCCCGCTGAACGCTCTCTCCATCAACGACGGGACCCCGGGAAAGATATAAACATTATGTACACTGACCTGGAAGACAAAGGTTAACAGATCCTAGAGTAAATATGAGCCTAAATGTGCAGGATTTAACAGGAAATGCAGCATCAGTTACCACGGAGATCTAGCTCGATGGCATCAGTTACCATGGAGATCTAGCTCTGCGGCATCAGTTACCATGGAGATCTAGCTCCACAACATCAGTTACCATGGAGATGTAGCTCCACAGCATCAGTTACCATGGAGATCTAGCGCCACAGCATCAGTTACCATCAAGATCTAGCAGGTAAAAAGAGAAACACCTTCATGACCCTGAAAACTCCGACTTTAAGCTCAACATACCTGCTAACCCACTAATCTGGCTTCGTAGTACAGCCCTCTGGTGGATACAGTTTTAACTTTATCTCCACCAGAATGTCTCCAGGAAACAAAACCACAACAAGATATGACGCATCACATAGAGCTGTAGCCCTTCATTGATTATTTGTCAATCATTAAATTAATTCTCAACTATTTTGATAGATTGTTCAGTTTAAGTAATTTTTAAAAAAGAATATCCTCTAATCCAGCTCCTTAAATGTGAATATTCTCTGGTAAGCTGAAATTCTTTGGGTTGTGGACAAAAACAGACGTTATCTTGGGCTCTGAGCTGCTGGCAGACGGACGGTGACTGGCTGCCGGCCGGAGCTTCACATTCACCAGACGAGGACGAGAATCCTCGCATTTACCTTTGAGCAAGAAGCAGGATAAACGCTGCTCCTTTAATGACTCATCTTAAGCTCCGTATAGGAACACCATCCATTGTGCGCCTCGACTTGAAGCGCATTCAGACGGCAGCAGACGCATTAACCGCGCCGCGCTGTGTGTCAATACGTAACGATTTCAGCAGACTGCGAGTTAAAGGTGCGAATGCTTTTCACACCTCGCGTCTGTAAAACGTTCAATTAAATGATTTTGCCCATTGTGAGGAGTTGTTTTTCTCTCCCGCAGTGTCTGGTTAGTTGTTGAAATTGCAGTCTGTCTTCAGGACAGAACAGACTGAATACGATGTGATGCTGAGCGAACAGCGAAAGAATATTTCAAAAAGACTGAAAAGGTAAAAACACAGCACAGCAGATTTGTTGGGATTTGAGTTTTAAGGCTTGTGCACACAAAACAAACGCCTCCCTCTACTTGCAATAAGTCCAACAGCACAGCAATAAAGTAAATAACAAAAATTACATCTGTACAGTCGATTACTTTTAAAAACAACAAGTCACTGCGTATTTCTAAAAAACAAACAAACAAAAAAAAAACTCCCATTTTAATTTTGAGTTTCTTTAAGTTTTAGCTCCACAGTATGAAGTTTATATGATAGTTTCTCATCAAACCACATAAAAACGTATTTCTAACATGGGATTATTGAACCCTCTGAACATTAATTGCTAATAAAAGATAATTACTTTCATATTTTGGCTCACTTTATTGGTCCCAATGACCGTGTTAAGTTCAAGAGCTCAGTCACTTTATATTACGGTGGCACTGTTTAACCGTCGAAACCTTCAACCTTGTTTTTTTGCTCACTGTGGGCCCATAAAGTCCTGCAGCTCCACGGAAACAATGACTAGAACGAGAGAGAACTTAAAAATGTGTTTTGTGCAGGATGACACAGTTATAATGACTTAAATCATACTTTTTGGGGATGATTTATGTTACACATTATGAAAAAAATGGAATGTACAGATGTGTACTGGAATAATACTGGAACAAAACACTGGCTCTAGATACTATAGATATTTTACTACTTAGATTTTTAATTTGCTTCCGTACTCATTTTAAAAACTGCCGTTCAGCCTAATAACGACTAAATTTTTCTCACGTGACTGTTGGTTTGCAGTGAGAAACAGAGAATTTTTCGCTTCTTACATAATCTGTTCGTGCTAACAGTTTATTCTTGCAAACTTTTTAATAAGACATGAAGTATAAACAGATTTTTGATTCACAATAATAAGACATTTCATTTATAAAGCACTTTCCACTTAAACGAAATCTCCAAGTGCTGCAAGCGCACAATAAAAATAAACACTACACACACTTAAAAATCACCAAATTTTGATCAGACATCACAACTTTTAGCTTTGATTTGGTTAATTTTCCCAGTAAAAACCCAAAATAGTGACTTAATTCTCTTTTTACAGTTTTTGGCTGAACATTTGCTTAATTTGCCACGTTTTCAAAGAACGCACCTGAGAAATTTGGGGTTCAGAGGGTTCATTCAAGCTCCAGCTACTGCACGAATTGCTTAACTTGGAGGATTTTTAATGTGGGTATTTGGACTTCAGCAGGACACTGGAGCCTCTTAGCCTGCTGTGTCCAACAGTACCGTAATTTCCTGACTATAAGCCGCTACTTTTTTCACACGCTTTGAAAACTGCAGCTAATTTATGGATTTTTATGAATTTTACGAATTTGTCTCGAAATGAAAGTGACATCGAGAGCGACAACGACAGAGAGACGGAGGAAGTGTGTGACGAAGCCATTCTGAGGCTGTTCAGTTCCGACACTGAAGAAGACGACTTTAGTGGTTTTAGTGCAGGAGGAAGATGAAGATAGCGATCAGTGACTTTTCCTGGTAGGCTGCTGTAGTTTTTATTTTTTTTAACCAGCCGTGTTACAGGAACTGTTCAGGAAAAAGCATTTACGTATTTGTGTATGTAACTGGTACGTATTTAATTAAAAGTTTAAAACACCTTTCTGTGTAAATATCTCATGTTACAACGTGGACGCCTGCAGCTTATAGACAAGTGCGGCTTATATATGTACTTTTTTTTTTTTTCTTTTTAAAGTTAGTGGGTGTGGCTGATATTCAGGTGCTCAATAGCCCGACAATTACGGTACTTCTTCTTCCACAGCTTCTGCAGTTTAGCATTCACAAAAACATAAAATAAAAAAAACAGTTCTTCTCTGGTATTAAATATATCATTGATGGTCTAGCCTGGCATGCTTGTTAGAGTGTTTGTGTTCTTGTGTGTAGAGACGTTTTGTAAAGTGGTGGTCATGTGGGAAGAATTTTTTGAATTTGGAGAGGGAGAATCTCTGTCTAGAAAAGCATCTTTATCAGTGTGTAGCAGGCTTTCGTCAGTCACTTGGTAGGAGATGCTGATCCCTGATATTTCTGGTGTTATTTGATGTCATGTTATATTTTGACACCTGAGTCCGACTCACCAGTGGGTAGCGCATCAGCTGCCCCGTCTGAGGGTCGGTTCCGTAGTTGAGTTTGGCCGAGCGCGGCACCATCGCCAGCTTCATGGCGGCGCTGCTTTTGTCCACCGCCCCGAAGAACTCCTCCACCAGCCGCGAGAGATCCGGATGCGGGTGCAGCTCCTCCTGGAACGCCATGGCGACGCTCTCGAAGGTGACGTCGTCGTGGGTGGGGCCTATGCCTCCGGACGTGATGAGGTGAGTGTACCGGGGGGAGAGGAGCGCCACCTCTTTGGCGATGACCTCCTGCACGTCCGGCACGACCGTTATCCGCTGCACTGACACGCCGAGCTTCCTCAGAGCTCGCGTCAGGAAGGCGCTGTTGGTGTCCAGAGTGTGGCCCTGAAAGAGGCGCTCGGTTAGCTGCGATCACATTAAAGAAGGTCCTGCTTGATACAGCTCAAGGACTCACACTGTGCAGCACATTTTGAGGGCGAAGCTTGACATTGGACAAAATCAAAAGACTTCATGTTTAAATCATGATCATGTCACGCCAAGAAATAATGGTGAACTTGTCATTTTAAAGTCAAGAGCTGCTGGCATGTCAAGTAACCATCACAGTGTTTTCCTGAGGTCATGAAATCAGGATCCAAGACGGGATAGAGGTCCACGGAGTCAATGCATACTGATGAGGGTGTATATGTTAATAAAGTCAAATACATTCAAGCCCATACACTTATAAGATAAATCTCTCCATTCCACAAACTCTCAAGGACTCTCACAGAGGTGCCTTCAATCACAAAAAGTCACACAAATATTGATGAGCGCTAAATCACCTTGAGGATCTCATCTCCAATGATGAGGATGGCTGCAGTGGGAGCATCTCCGTTGGCTGCAGAGGACGAACTGGAGCTCTGGTGGTTGCTGGACATGGTGGCTTTGCTGAGTTGAGCTGCCAGCGTCCTGACACGAGCCGCTGCTCTACTCAGATTGCAAAAAGAAAAGCTGGAAGACACAGGAGAAACTCATTAACCCCAAACCCCACAGGCAGGTTTGGAAGGACTGTTATCTATAAATAAAAACAGAATCACCAAAATTACACAATTAAGAAGTCCAACAAACTGTAAAAACCTAAAGAATCAACAGATCTGAACTAATTATCTGCTGTTTGGTCGAAAAACTTCCCTACAGCTGAGGGGTAAAATCAGGATTTTGCATAAAATTAACATTACTTAAATGCCTCATTTAAAAATGTGTCAAAAATACACCATTTGAACAAACCAAATTCTGCAAAAAAATAAAAAATTCTGCATTCCTGAGAGAAACCAAAAATCAGTGAGTCAGCTGCAAACAACAGTCATGTGAAAAAATTCAGGGAATACTAGGATGAACTTCAGGCTAAGTTTACACGGAGCAAATGGGAGAAGACTGAGAAACAAATCAAAGCTTTAAGTAGTAAAATTACTCGAGCACGTCGAGCTGTCATTTTTATTTTCATTTTTTGTTTTGGTAAATTCTTTCTACTTCTAGTCACAGTTCTGCTTTTGTCATAGATTTTACGTTGCAGTAAAAATGAGACCACGGTGAGTTAAAATGTGACGGGAGTAGAAAAAAAAACCCTCCGCTTTGAGTTTAGATAGTTAAACATTTGCACTTTCTGTACATACGTGAACCACAAGCATCTACAGAACAAAGTCCATAATCCTTCTGACCTTCACAGTGGAGCATCCAAGCATGAATGAAACCTATGTTCACTGTCTGTATGATTTTTTTTGTTGCTTTTACGACACCGTGTTCCCGCGAGGACAATAACTGATTCTTACATCAACATGAATCCACACGGAGCATCCCAGTAATGTCCAGCTCAGGCTCTGTTCTCCTGCATTATTCGTCTCCTAGCAGGGAGTATCTGGGAAGAGAAGCACAAAAGAGCAAAGAGCAGAGACAGAAAGAAAAGAGGGAGAAGGAGGAACTGTGAATAGCTGGTGTGTTTCAGCTGCACAGAACCTGCTGTGCATCACGTAATAAGGATTTCTCATCAGTTATTGCTTAAACTGAGTCTCCAGACGGGGCTTGTGGATGAAATAAGAAATGAGCTGCATTTAAAGTACTGCACTCTGGGGGTCGTGCTTGATTTCTATTTCATTAAGTCTGTTAAGTGCACGTTCAGCTGTATGGGGTTGGACCGCGCTCACACAGACGCACCTTCATTCTGGAGAGTCGAGCTGCGAGCAGGTGATATTTTAAGTCTATTAGCTGTTTGTAATTTTACTGACAAAACAGCGTGCCGAATAAAAGAGGAAAGCAAGACAGTGGAGCAGCTCGAGTGCATTTGAATCGTCTCTAACACGGTCAGGTGCTTGTGACATACAGGTGTTAAAGGGGAGATAAGAGGACTGAAGGTTGACCGATGTGTGAACAGGCTAATAATTCAGGCTGCACAATATATCATTTCAGTATCAACAATGAAATGTGAAATACAGCAAATTAACTCAAACATATCACACCGCTTGACGCAAAAAGAAAATTCACACGGTTCTCATTTTCCATGACTGATCTGCCTGCCTGTCTGTCTGAACATAATCTACACTGATTTAAGGCCTCTTGCACAGAATGAGTTTTTTTTTTTTCCTCCTTTATTTAAAAGACCGAGAGTTTATTGATGCGCCGGCTCCACATGTGCACAGCGAAATGAGCGAGGAACGGCAGAGAGAAAAGGGAGATCTGGTTGCAAAAAGAAATCAGTTCTATTGAAGTGTTTGAGACGCGGCGCGAGTAATTTGTTTGACTATTTAAATCTGCACTAAAAACGCTCTGTGTGACGAATGCAAAAGCCAGATCTGAGTGTCATCCAAAGCAAAAAAAAAAAGATTTCAGCTGCTTTTGCCGGTGTTACATCATATAAGAAAGGTTCAAAACAGTTTTTTTCTTTCTTTACTTTTAAATTTCGGTGTATGTACTCCACTACAAAATCACCTGAATCATCCTAGAGTGATTGATCACTTCCTTATTCAAGCCTTCTGGTAGGAAATTACTACATTTTTTTCATATCGCAATATATATATATATCACAGAGGGAAATAAACATCACAATGTCAGCATGCTCCAATATCATGATGCCCTTAAGGTGGTGATATGAAGATAAACTTGGTGGCATGGGAATTTTAAGACATTGAAGAAAAATTGCCACAATATGTGAGGAACCGGGAGGAAGTGGGGAAGAAAAGAGCAAAGGTTTAGCGGACAGGTGCCAGTGGAGTTCAGCATTCAAGAATGTGAGTTGAAATTTAACATGGCTGCATTCATGCATCCATCCATTATCTATACTCCACTTCATCCTCACTAGAGTCATGGGGGGCTGGAGTCTATGTGAAAGCAGGTTCACCTGGACAGGTCACCAGTCTATCACAGGGCTACACTTAGAGACAGACAACCAAGCACACTCACATTCACACCTACAGACAATTTAGAATCACCAATTAACCTGAACATGTTTTTGGACTGTGGGAGGAAGCCAGAGAACCCGGAGAGAACCCACGCTGCACGGGGAGAACATGGAGACTCCACGCAGAAAGATCCCAGGTGTCCTCACCAGGACGCGGACCGGCGACCTTCTTGCTGCGAGGCAATGGTGCTAACCACCGAGCCACCTTGCAGCCTCTGCATTCGTGCATGATGATCAATTCTACTTACGAGCTGATGTGTGCAATATTAATACTTTCCTCAGTATTTCTGTTCATGAAACAATCTGTGTAAAACTACTGGTATGTGCAATTCTGCTGTGTCTGGAGCTAGGACTTCTGTATATTTCTACTGTTTCTCTGCTGTTGTAAAAATGCAAATGATCCAATCTCATCTTTAGTGTAGATGAGCGACTGCAAAACTGAAATTAAAAATGCGTCCATAGAACATGCAGATGAAATCACTTGCTCTTAACTGAGGTAAATCTGACATTACGGTGCCTTATTTGACTCTTTCCAAACTAAACTTTTTGGTCACAAATCAGTCTGAGCTGCTTCACTGTAGTAAACTAGAGGACTGTCTGAGCACACCTGCCCAGGTAGCTCTTCAGGTGAGGCATTTAAGGAACATCTGGACACTCTACCGAGCAGATGTTCCGCAAGTGTGGAGTTCATCCTGTGCCCAGTTTATAGGAGGGATGTTACAAACTTAATATATTTTTAGATTAAAATATTTTGCAAATCTAAAGTCAGTGTTGATCCTTATTCCAATGCAATACCAGGGGGTGCAGAGAGATTCAGCAGCATTCATTGTGGATTAATACCATCCTGCACCAAAATAAAGTGAGTCTGGAGCCCTGACAGGTAATATACAGTTTTGAATCTATAATCTAGAGACACGTGAAGCCGACTTGTGTGCGAAACCTTAAATCATGTGCATATTTTTGGGATAGTAGGAGTTGCAGATAGAGGACCATGCGACTTTGCACTTGCTCGTGTTTATTGCGCAACACAGTAATGGGACAAAATTAGGTTGAACTCTCGCACACTAATTCATCTTCATAACACCAACTGCCACAAAGCCTGATTATCAGCCCCCGTGTATAAAACCTTTATGACAGATCTAAGCTAACACTGAGAAGTCTCCTTGCTAGGTGACTTGACCCATTGTGAGGGGCAACAAACAAGAAGCACCGCACAAACCCCACTGGATTATGTCAATTTCGGTCGATTTCGTTAAACTATCACATACTGAGAAGACACGTATAACGCATCGTATTACTAATTCGATATTCACACTCGTTTAAAAGCCGAATAAACTTACTCCAGAGCTGCAAATGTCCTCGTTACGTATCCTACCATTTGTGGCTACGGCGGCGCTCAAGACGCACCGCTGATCGTCCAATCACAAGGAGGGACGCGTCTCAACGTGACGCGCAGCGGCCAATCACATTCGCGGAGGTGGGTCTTCAGCGGTCGGCGACTTTGTGTACGCGGAAGTAAATAAAAGCTTTGTGCGGTTGCAGGCGAATTAAACGCAGTCACGACGAAGCGGTATGTGTTGGAATGTAAAGGTGATAGGTATCAGCTAAACATGCAGCGGGGACAACTTGTTGCCGCGTTGCAGCGTCGCATTTTGGATGTGAAACTGTTAGCAAGATGCTAGCAGATGTCAGGAAACGCTTCTTCTTCTACTACCTGAAAAAAAGCGGTGACAGTAACTCGTGCGCCCCTGCTGGTTGGAGGACTTAACTACAAGAAACGAATAGAAACGTGTATTTCTACTCTGTCCTGTTTAATCTGAGTGTATTATTACTGTCTTGGCCTGTTGGTGGAGCATGTTAGCATGGATAGGACTGTGGGCCACTGAAGACTGAATTTGAATAACCAATATTACAATTTGAATTGTCAACCTAAATTATTCAAATAAAAAATGTATCATTATGATCATTAAAATTTTTTATTTATTGTTATGATTCATATCTCTGCTCATACACAACTACCAGTCTGCTATTGTTCTGCAAATTGATGAAACATTGAACCAAAGTTAATGCTGATTTGCTCAATACCCACAGTGTTTTATTAGACAGAAAATACATCGCTTCTTTCACCCTCTGAACCTCCAAACCCACCAGTGGGTTCGAAAGATATGTTCCATTAAAAAAAAAAAAAAAAAGTGGCTAAATGACACAATTTGTCACCCACAAACCATAGAAACTGAAAAACAAAAATCTAATTTTTGTGAAATAATCTGTGATATCCGGTTTGGTCAGGAAAACATATCAAATTTGACCTGAAAACCATAATGTATAGTCAAAGTCACTTTATTCAATCTGTCTTGTTTTTTTTTTTTTTTAAAAAGCCAAAAATAAAGTGTTTGCATTAACAGGATTCTGTAAAAAACAAAAAAATCCTGCACTTGTCTTTGCAATAGAGAAGCCTCTAGTCACTCAGCTGTGACCAACAGTCACATGACAAAAAAGTCGGGGACTTTTCAGCTGAAATGCAGGTTGTGTTTTTACAGAGCAGAGACAAATCTGGTGCACAGATTTCACATTTAAGTTCTAAAATATAATATGCATGAAGCTGTTTTCCACTGCAGGAGCTTACAGGCAGTTTATAGGCGGTCAAAACATTTGTGTGTGTGTTCCACCTGCGAGAACTGGCCCTGTACAACCTGTTTCAGGGTTGTTTTCGGTGCAGAAAAGAAAAAAGTACTTACTCAAGAGTAGCTGCTGTTTGAGTGTCATACATGTTATTTCCTGCATTCTGGGGAAATTTTATTCACCGCTTTGCACATTTTCTGTCTTTATTTATGTAAAGAAAAATGCAGAATTCAGGCACCAGGTGATAAATAAACCCAAATATATTGGAAAATAATGCAAGCGAGGCCTCAGGCATTCTGTATTACTTTTAAATATTTATTCTCCTGCAGATCAACTTTACTCATTTTATATGACTCCTGTTGAGTCAACACACACTAGCATACAAGCATGATTTATTCTTCCATCCTCTTTTGTGTCTTTTATTGAGCTTTAAATGTGAAGATGGCATCTTGTCAGTTCCATTAAAACCTCCAGACTTTAACAGGTCGCACGTGTTTCAGCAAGATTTCTGTTCATGTTCAAAAACTTCTGCTAATTCATGACATATCACACATATCTGTGGTGGATATGCTGAAAAAAGAAGGCAAATTGAAGGTTGTGTTGCATCTTTGAGTGAATATTATAGTAATTTTAGCTTTGCAGATTCCCCTCTGAAATCTACGTATATAATTCAAGCAATCGTGTACAATTTAGAATAAATAACAACATTAAAGTGTTAATGAAATGTGCTTTTTGCAGATGAAGGCATAGAAGTTCTTCTCTGTTTGGGGAAAAAAGGTTTGGAATTATATGATGTTTTATTCTATCGCATTCATGATAGAAGAAAATATCAAATTAATGAGTCAGACTTTGGAAAATATAAAGAAGAAACATGATGTTAGTGATAAATGTGAGATAAAATGTCGAATCGCTGTCTTTCATTTTAATTATGGTTGAAATCTGACCTAGTTTGTCACTTTTGCGCTCTATAAATACTGTTATTTGTGTCACTTCTGTATGTGTTTATAGTTTGTTTTTTGGCAGAAGCAGGTTTCCATACAGTAAGGATACCGTAAGGCCTATTTCACGGATAATTTCACATGTCATAAAAGCGCTGTTGTCACTAATCACATTAACAATGGCCCCGTTGTATTCAAGTGTTACAAAAAGTCAGCATGCACCGAAACTGAAGAGACTGTTTCACATTTGTTTTTCTTATTTGCGCCAGTGCTTCTGCCATGACAACGAGTGGAAATGTTTCCTGTGGCCTGTAGGTAAAGATCCACCCTGAGAGCATGTGAGCTGCTGGGATTAAGTGTCTTTCTCAGGGGGCATGTTTACCTGTTGGTGGTATTTTTAGGCTGTGGCCTGCAGAGGGAACGTTATCGCTTCCCACCATCAAAGTGTTCAAAATGATCAAACCAAACTCTAAAAAAGAAAAAAGTGTGTGGGGAGTCACGAGGAAGAGATGATGCTTAAAACACAGAAGAAATACATCAAGTTTAAACTCATAATTATTCATACCCATGCCAGAGTTGCATTTATAGGGAATTTTTATTTGACCAATGACTTTTTTATGGCTGAAAATGACACAAACAAGTGACAAAAGACAAGAAGACATTCTGTTAGAGGAACTAATGATGATTTTTTACTATTTTTATGTTTATTTTTAGCATTTATCAGCGTCAAAGTCTTTATGTTCCTCCACATCAGTCCAACAGCAGTTCTAGTGTCCAACAGTGTTTCTGGGATTTGGTTCCTCCAAGTGTCCATCTGCAGCTCTTGGAGCTTGAAGGCTTCCTCTCCATCACTCTGCTCTTCAGCTCCTCCACAGGTTCTGGATGGATTCAGGTCTGGACTCTGGCTGGGCCGCTCCAACATCTCCTCATTGTTTCCTCTTAACTGTTTCTTCACCACTTTGACTGCATGTTTCACATCATTGTCTTGTTGAAGCTCCAATGCTGCCCAAGGAGCAGTGTTCCTGCAGACCTCCTGATGTTCTCCTCTGTTCTCATGAAGCCGTTTCCTCTGACCAGGCTGTCTGGTCCGTCGGCTCAACAACAGCCCCAAAGCATCACGTTCCACCACCATGTTGGACCGTGGGGATGCTTCTCCTTTCTCTGTGTCCAAACATCTCCATGTCCATAAAGTGATGAGCAGCAGCTTTCTTCTCAGTCCTGGAGAAGTGGATCCTCCTTGTCTCCATGGAGACCAGCCTTGTTGTTGGTCTGCTGAACCTTAAAAACACTTGATATGACTTTATAGCCTTTAAACATCTTGTGAGCAGCAACAAGATGCAACTGGAGGTCCTCATTGAGTTCTTTGGTTTCAGTCATGACTTGGAACTGACTTGAGAACGATTGCATCAGCTGTTCTCACTTTATAGTGGATTAGAACCCTCTATGGATGAAATTACCGGGAACATTTAGAAGCTGCATTTTCTGAAAGACTTGGAGCAATTTTCAGGGTATGAATAATTTTGGACATGGTATTTTTTAGTGAAAATAGATATAAATAGTTTCTAAAACAAGGTCTCACTGTGTTTGTTCATGTCATTTCCAGCCAGAGGAAACCTGCTGGTTAAATTAAAAAAACAAACTCGTCTTTAAATTAAAACTTGGCTCGAGAAGGAGTCATTTGGAGCTTTAAACATCCCAGCGGTTATTGCTGAAGAGCATACAGCAGATGACAGAGAAGAGAATTTAAGTTGTGAATAAATAAAGGCAGCTGTGGTCTGGTGGTGACCGCAGGACGAAAACAAAACTTCAAGAGAAAACCAGCTGTTCTCATGTTGCGCGTCTTTACGGTAACTTTAAACGAGGAACGCTGCGAACTTTTGCCTCTTCTGCGAAGAGGGATTTCTGCTTTTACGCAATCGGCGCTCACTGGTCCAGGTGCAAAGAAAGAAAAAAAAAAACGGGGCCAAACATGCACGCACACACGAACACACACACACGAACACACACACACACAGGATCCGCGGCCAGATGACGTTGCCATTTGTTCGCGGAAGTGGCTTCTGTCGTGACCGTGGAGGGGGGAGGCAAGGGGGAGGAGGAAGGGAAGGAAAGGGAGAGGAAAGAAGAAGTTCACACTCATCTCTTTATGAAGTTTCTACCCAAAGAGTTCGGCGCCCGGCGGACGGAACCGATCGAGCCTTTTCGTCCCGTTGGATGAACCGGAGCTGAAGTTTTTACGCGGCGGCGGCAGCTCGGCGGGCAGGAGGGCCAGTCGAGGCGCAGGGAGGAACAGAGCTGGTGAGTCGCTCGTTAAAAAGTTGACCACACTTTTCTTTCAGGGCATGGTTGCTCGTGGACCGTGCGCGCCGTGCGTCAGGCTCCTGGACGACTTTTCCAAAAAGTTTGGAGCGACGCGTCTTTGTGCGACTTTTTGTTGTTCTTGTTTTGTGCGCAGCCTGTGAAATAGTTGAGCTGAATGTTTGACTTGTGCTCGCTCTGCTGCTGTCAGACGAGTTTTTTGGGTTTTTAGTGTTTAAGCCTGAAGTCTCTGAGGAGCAGAGTTGACTGTAGTTTCTGCCCAAGTGGTGCTTAAATGTTGAGAAATCAGCTCAGAACGGAACTTTTCGGTGCGTTACACACCGGAGCTGCGATGATTAATCGATTAATCATCAACTGTTTCATTTTAAAATGCCAGAAAAGTGTTCCCCAAAGCTCAGGATGACTTCCTAAACTGCCTTGTTCTTGCACAACCCCAGGATATTCAGTTTATTGTCACAGAGGAGGAAAAAAACAAAAACATTCACTTTTAAGACGCTGAAATCAGAGAGTTTTTTCTCT